ATCATGAGCGAAAAGCATTGCCCTTGTAAACCGCAGCGTTGACAAAACTGAGTTTATAAGCATTAGAAATAATATTGAGGCAGAAGAGTAGCCCTGCGTCATATCTAAAGTTACTGGACGCAAATGAGTCAGGATAGCAGTTAGTAGCAACACTGCCAACGTTCGATTGTTTAAATATGAGTGCAGCCATTTAATGGAATGAGCTGAGAAACTAAAATCTAGCAGTGATCGAAGCAGGGCTACATGGCTTATAGTGTCAAACGCCAGATGAAAGTCAAAATTCACTGAAAGTGTGACTAGTCCAAAATCCATACGGGAACGAACATCGTCAGACACTTTGTTAAGAGCCGATTGGGTACTATACCCACACCTAAAGCCAGATTGTAATGACGAAAGTAGAGACTTTGCTTCCAAGCAATCATACATTTGTTGTGTGGTAATATAGTCACAATTTTTGGACATATGAGGGACATTTACTATTACACGTGTCTGTTGGGCACTCTTTGGTTCAGCGACCTTGGAATAAAAAACTACAGTAGACAGTTTCTATATAGAAAGATATAGACCCTCAGATATTGGCAAACTGAAGACATGCAGAAGGTAGACTGCAAGAGTTGGAAAAACACCAGAGAAATAACTCAGTGATACGCCATCACTGCTACGATCCTTAGATGAGTTCGCACAATGCATTAACGACTATCACAAACAAACCAATTACACTGGCATGGATCTGAAAGCGACTGGGAAGTCAGTCGTTTGACAAAGTATTTCATTAGGCTCCTGCAATAAGCAAAAGAGGCTGAAACTTGCCACTGACGAGTAGTAGTCCAGCAGTGTGAAGGCTGACAAAGATATTTATTGTGATTATGGCTTACAAAAAAAAATCCCAAAACAACTCGAAATTTTCCAACATTTAGACTTATCACTCTCTCCGATCAGTCTATCCCTGAGGTACGCATCAAGGGCACTCAAAATATTGATTGTAATCTTCTTAAGCAACTCCCTATACTTTACCATATCTTTTGGGTCTTGTGATCTCTTGGCCTTCCGATACAAAATGTCACGTCTTGTACATTTGGCCCTGATCTCAACCGTTATCCACGGTGCAGGCATTCTATGGGCTTTTTGGACTCTGAAGGGTGCGTGCATGTGAAGCACCTTGATAACCCGAGCTCAAAAGGTGGAGACAGAGTTGTCCAAATGAAAAGTACCTTTATCCAAAAAAAGTACCTTTTTTAGGTAAATTTTCTATGGATGCACCTCATATAAGAAGTTTACTTGTAAAACAAGAGAGAAAACGCTACGATTTACATGTCTATACACATTATCCATACGTATAGCAGCCAGTGATGACTGCAGTGCAGAGAATTGGTTTCTCTGTCTCTCTTCCTTTTTTTCTCTCTGTCTGTTAAATACACAGAATGGTGCGTGATAGTCATAATATACATACATATGCTCAAAAAAAACATGGTAAAAAATCTTTTTTCTTTGCTATTCATTTTTATACATGTATAGTGATGTGTCAAAAAAAGGTTACAGTAATAAATATTTATAATACAACAAAATAAGGTTTCAAAATAAGAAAAAACGTTGTATTTTGGAAGGCAAGCAATTCTGGCTGAAAAATTTCATTGAAACGGGTTATCGAAAGAAGTTCTACGCAATTGACGAGCAAAAATTTAAAATAGTTGGACTATGCACAAATATAAACTTAATTACCTTATTTCTCGACTGTACCCAGAAAAGAACCGGCCAACAAAAATATTTAATTAGAATTGCATTTTTAGAACATTTAAACGAACGTTGACAAAATGTTTAAAAAATTTGTGATACAGCATAGCCTCTCAAAGTTAGCAGAATAGTTATATCTTAAAAGGGAAGCCAGATAGGCCAAAAAATTCTTGTTTGTATAAGAAATAATTATTTAGGTGCAGAAATATATATCAGATGACTTTATTGAAACAACCGTAACAATTTAAAAGAAAATAAAAGTCATGTATCAAAGGAAAAGCTACGTTCTACCAGTTAGACCTATATCTGTTAGTTGTTGCTTCGATGGTACCACTATCTTGGCAGATAATGGTATGCGCATAAAAAAAAAATTAATAATTTCTGACGATCCATGGGTACTAACACCGTAGCGGATAATGGTGTGCGCGTAAAAACAACTTAGTTATGGACCAGGGCAAAAAAGAGTAAAAACAAGAAAGGAAAAAATATGAAGAATTTGTCATATAAACTTTAACACTAACTTTTATTAATATAAAATAGAAGTTTACAGCAAACCAGTGCGAACCGAGGCGAGTAAAGTATTCAAGATGTTACGCACTCGTTAAGGACTAAGTAATAGTAGAGGTGGACTCTAAATAATCAGTCGACCGTTCAAGGGTGAAAAAAAAATTAACTGTGTCCTTACCTCGTGGTAGACTGGGAGGTAGCAGAGACGGACTCTTACTACTTAGTCTACCGTTCGAGGGAAAGTACTTAAGAGAGCCTCTAGGGCTTTTTATAAGAAGTAGCGGACCTTGGTAATGTGCTGATTCAAGAACGACGTAGGAAAACTTGCCAAGGGAAAGTCTTACAGAAAATACAATAGCCAAATATCTTATTAGCAGAACTGCTCCAGTTTAGCCACTCTAAAATTAGCACTTCCCACATCTGGCTCGCTCTCATATATGCGTCAAGAGACGAAAAGATAATTCACGTACTCTTGCCCTTCCTTTCTCTTTTAAATCTAAATTTTAAAAGATTTTAATATGACTTAACATTACCACTAAAACAAATTGTTGTTAATATTCACTAATGCTAAACACCAGTCGTTTGTTCAACTGAACTTGTTGCAAGAAGAGCAGCGAAAATTGCTTAGCAATTCAATTAATGCTCGGGTGAATTAGCGACCGGTGTGTTAGGATTCATCAAATACTACTACTACTTAAGCACCAAAACGGTGGCCGCTGCCTTTATTATTTGTAATCATAATATCAGTAGTGGTAGTATAAATAATAATAATAATAATTGTAGCATCTCCGAGTAAAGAAAAGAAGGAGGGTTAACTTTCTGTTTTCTTGTACATTTGGGAGGAAGTGTTAACAATTAACTAGATTAAAAATTAGACTATTGCAGTATGTTTATGAAATTAACAATGTAATGCAAAAAGGGCTACTTGGTAAATCATGAGCTTGTGATTTTAAATTGTAACAAGCAGGTTATCCCTTGAAAGTTAATAGTGTTATTAACTAGGCTTGTCATGGTTAATATGTAACGTAGTTGTTTCCAAGTGGTGTAGTGTGTAGTGGTTATTTGGAACGACTCTGGCTTTTACTAATACTTTCGCTTTTTTATGTGTTTCAATTCTAAGCTTTTTAAATATATCACGTTATATTATTTAATCCTTTTTCAAAGTTCATTATTTTTATCATTATTTTACAGCGGGTACGGGTAACTTGAAGGTGATTCACCTCTTTTTAGATGCACTTTGGTCCTTGCTCAAGTGCTTTTACATGAAATTACTAAGTCATGAGGAGGGAGAATATTGTTGGTAATTTTTAGTTTACCGATCTTACAATATTAGTTTTTAACAATGGAGCATACCTGTATGTCTATTGTTTACCATAATCTTAATCCGATTGAGTAGATTATTTCATTTCCATGGAAGCCAGAACTTAAAAAAATTTTGATTTGTTGGATACAAAGATTGCAACAATAAATGATTTTGTATATGTTATGTCATAACAACTGCGGAACTATTAAATTTAAAAGAAAACAGTCTGAATTTCACGTAACAGGAGACACGTACTTTCTTTCAGTGGAGTATGGTGATCTTTCGTTTCGTTCTGCATTATATGGCCAACAGTTTTTACATGTAATACATGTATCATAGCAAACATAAAAGAACTTTAAATGCACAAATCACATGTAACATAAGTGTTATACTAAGGTTTCTGTAATAATACGCGCACGTGATTAAATACGAAAAAGTATTAAATTTTTTACTATTTTAACATTCCATTCTAAAAGATCTTTTTACATTTAGTGTAGTTGGATAGTTTCAGTTTCTGTTATACCAAGTTTAAAAACTTTTCAGCTGAAAGTTTTATTTCCACCACGGATTCTGAGAACCACACCTGGTTTTTTTGTTACGCATTTTTTAAATTACTATAGTAACGAACACGTACAATAACTTCATTTTGTTTTATTTATGCTTTTTATTTTATTGCTTATAGTAACCTCCACATTTTATCCCCAGGAACTATGTTTTTTTTCTATTTTTATTACGGATTTTGAATATAGCATTTAGTAGGTGCTGACAAAATAATCAAATTACAAAATTCAAAGTCAATCAGCTTAGAATCACTAATATACACTTAAAATATACTTCTTATTTTTATAAATAATAAATTTTTATATCGTTTGAGACGTTAAACCTATTCATATACTAACTTACAAATAAGACGTTTACACTTAAGGCTTACTCTTTAGACATATTCTTATTTGTTCTTCATCTATTAGGTTGATAATAATATCTGTCAGATAACCTATTTGCACATTGGGATTAGCAACTGAAATATTTGTATCTGAACATTATTTTCAATTATACAAACAGTTTTTTCCTAATATCCTATGCTTTTTATCTATTTGCTGTCAGACTTAATTTACTCTCTTTGTAGATGTTTATTAGGCTTTTGTGAATAAGTTAAGAATTTATGTGGAACAAATCCCACTCACTAGACTACTTATCACTTGAACAGCAGTAAGTGTTCATACTAGATTTAAACTATTTATAAAATATTACAGTTAAAATGACAAACAGGTTTAATTTAAAATAAACTAAAATAAATTTTAATTAAAAAAAAGACCATTAACCAATTATTTGATAGTTAATAATTAATTAATAAAAGTATATCACTGTTTCACTTTCAATATAAACTAAATTTCCATAAATCATACGGCTTTCTTTATTTGCATGTTAACGTCAATCACCTACTTGTAAATTACGATAGTCATGCTGTGTTTTTTTTTCTACCGTTCTTAAAGGTCGTCATCTGCAAAAAAGACATATTTAATTTAAGAAATTTATTTATTAGTTGCTATATTACAAAGAAAGGTTTTGGTGTCACTTGACCATTCTTATTTTCATCCAAACTGTCATCATCACTAATCTTTTGAAACAGTAAAACATCAATTTTGTTTGAATTTTCTAATTTAATACAACTTACCTTTTTAAAGTCAATGATGCCCTCTGTGTTTTCATTGTTTTTTAAGCTGCCTAAGTTCTTAATTTTTTTTTTTTTTAATTTAGGCATTCTCTTAACTTCAGGTATTTCAGGACTTTACGCATCACCAAGACTTATCTTGGTCTTACCTTGATTTTATCTTTGTTTTCTAAAACAAGAGTCAAGACGAGAGTCGAAAAAAAATTTCAAGACAAGACCAAGAGTCAGGAGACCAAGAATGTTATTTTGACAAGATTCTTTGTGACGATCCTCAGTCTTATAACTATAAAACATTATATTTATTTTTGGTGATTTAATTTATTTTAATGCAAGCCAATTTTAAAAAAATTTATAAAATTATTAAAGTTTAAATTAACATGAAAAAGAAATTATAAGTTACGATAAACCTGGTGGGACCTAATACATACAAATAAAATAATATTTATAGTAAGATATTTAAATTGATTCCACAAATACCTTCTGCTAGCGTACTTTTAATCCATGAGCTTAAACACAGAAAACTGCAGGAGGTTTGACACCCTAAGGTGGTTCTTTTATAAAATAATTATAACCCATGGTAAGCTAGATTACGCGTTGTTTTGACGAAGAAGCGACGCTTCCAGTCTATGGCTGTTAATATAAATAAGAACTAATTCTGTAAATCGTGAAATATGCACACATTGATTAATAGAAAATAACTATTAAATAAGAGAAATAACTTATTCAAAGAGTGTCAAGCCAGGCACCCTTGCATGCATACAACCGCATGCTTCGACAAACAGACAAAATCTATCAGTCTGCGTGCTTCGTCAGAGTACCAGACGCCCACAAAGCTGTTGGCTAGCATTTGTCTAGAGATAGTGCCACTAGTCTCTCTCTTTCACATCATTACAATATATACATAGCCTCCAGTAAAAATGTATTACATTTCTTTTACGCCTTCTTACATTTATACTAGTTTTCTTTATTCAGTTTCTTAAGCTTAACATGTTTTCTAACTTTTTAAAATTTGTTCTCCAAAAAGGTTTCGGTAAAATGTCTGCATTATTACTTTCTGATTTAACCTTAATAATATTAATCATTTTATTGACATAACTTTCATTTACAGAATGAAAATGTTATTCTGTATATTTTACAGTTTTCGTAAAATTACCAAACTTTGCTATTCTTACAGCTCCTGAACTGTCTTTATTCATTTCAATTCGTTTTTCTAACTTTGAACAAAATGTTTCTAAAAAAATTTTTATTAATTTTAGTTTACTGAGAGCCTTTGACAATGCAACATATGCAGCTGATGTTGATGACTTTGTTACATCACTCTGTTTACGTGTTTTCTAATGAATAACATTACCAAAAAGTTTTACTATGTAACCAGACGTAGATTTTCTTTTTCTATTTTGACCTGCCGAATCTAAATTTACAAAAGAGTCTAAGGCAATAACATTCTTATTTTTCTTGTACATTAGATTCAAATCTTTGGTAAGGTACATATACTCAAAAACTCTCATCGCATACTGAAAGTGTATTTCATTGAAATAATTTAAATATCTGCTTAAATGATTTATACTACATTTTACATAAGGTCTCACTTCCAAACTTATATACAAAATACGAAATTTCATACTTCAAACCATTTTCAAATTGTTTTCCTTATCCTAGCTTTAAACTTTTAAACTAGCTTTAATCTTTAGTGAAGTATTATATATTTGAGCATTTTCTAGGTTGTATTTGTTTGATAAAGATTTCATATAATTTTTTCGACTTAAAAACCTTGCATTTTACTTCATATTATGAATAATATTTATTCACAAATGATTTCTTTTTTTCCTAAATCCTACAGGCAAAATTTTTTAAATAATTTTACTTCAACCACATCAATGGTCCTTCGACTTTTAAAACCAGTTAATACATTACTAACAAACAAAATAATGTAAGCTTCAACTTTTACACAAAAAATATAAACAATTGTCTACTTCACTGTTTTCAAAATAAGTATTTTAGAACTGCATTAAAACATTCAAAGAAATCTCTAGGGCTTTCTGTTAAGCCACTCAATGTTTTTTGCAATAAACATACTTCATACAAATTATTGCTAAAACCTTGCAGTTCTTTGACATAATTCTCTGATTTAAATTTCTTACTAAAAATGCGGTTTAAATATTCATCTTTTTAATAGTTAGGCTTTATTTGAAACAACACGATAACAGAATTCTTATGGTTAGCTTCTAAGCTACAAGAAAAAATATCTTTAATATTTTTCTTTTGTTTTAATTCTTTAACTAGTAACCTTGCTTTCCATTTTTTCTCATTTTTTTTTGAATAAATCTGTTTAACATTGCAAACTTTTTGTCTTTCAGCTTATCTACCAATATTAAAGTCTTATTTTTATTTAAACAATAAATTGCTCTTTTTGTCGTAATTTTTCCAATCATTAGACTTAAAAATTCTGATTGCTTCACTAAAGCTTTTAGGATTTTTTGCCCTACAATAATTAACATAAATAGTATTATACACGTAATTGCCATTATATCTTTCTAGATGCTTAAAATTCCTGTTCAGTCTACTGTTAAAAATTTTTTTTTTTCTATTCTCACATTTACTCTCTTTCTCAGTAATATCATTGTCGTTTTTATACTTAGCATCTTTGAATTTTTAACTTGCATTAGACTTATTATCATAAAAAGCTTTCATCTTTATTTTTTAGTTCATTAGATTTTAAATCAATACAAAATGTATCTTTTTTAGTGACATATACATGTCTTGCTCCAATAATCCTATTGTTTATCAGAACTATATCCTATGATAATCTACAAGAATTCCTAAGCCTGCTTGTTAATCTCATTTTAATCTCCCTCTCTGTTCAGGAGCACATTAAAATACTTTGCTCCCAGACTTTTTTAAATGTTTAAAATTAGGATTAATACCAAAATACAATTAAAAAGGATTTTTTAATTCAAAAGTATTTGCAAGGGTAATGTTCTTTAAATAGGGTGCCACACATATGACTTTCAGCCAAAACCTTCTATCTATCCTAGCTTTAGTTGGACAAAATCAAGAAATTTCTATTATACTTCTGTTTATATCTTTTAGCATTATTATTTTATTCGTGCACGTACAGTGGACATGCATCTAGACGAATTTCTTCTTCTTTCACGAATTCAAAAATTCTTTTATTCATATACTCTTTTCCATGGTCACATAAAAACTTTTAGTTCTTCTTTCTATTAAATTTTTATTTTTAATAATGTACAAAATAACACACTTACAAACTTTTCCTCCTAATTTAAGCAGATGTACTATGACAATTGTACTGTTGTCATCAATAAATATTAAAAAATGTTTTTACACATTAAATCTAATTGTATTGTAAAGTCTTTTCAAATATAATAGAATAATAAGATTTGATGTCATATTTTTTACATGAAATACATTTGACATATCAATTCTAACGAATCTTTCATGAACTTTTAAATAACTTGAAACTTGTCCTTCTTTTGTCAGTTGTAAGCTTCTACCATCACCTACATTTATATTTACTGGAGTTCTTCAACAAATAACTTAAAAAAATATCATTACAGTTCACTACATGATTCGTACAACCGCTATCTAAAAGCCAGTCAATATGTTTACCTTTTGTTTTATTTCATTGCAGCAGACTCAACTATCTTCGCTAAAAAAACTCTAAGTGGTCAGCTGCCTTTTGCCAAGTATCCTGTTGTGATGCGTGGCCTCTTTTTCCTTGTCCAGTTAAGCCTTCTCCTTTGCCTGAATTTCTGCCTCTGCTTCTTAAAGCTTCTCGATGCACGCCGTTTCAATCAAATTGCTGGTGTCTGCCTGTTTGTGCTTAACCATCATAGCCAGCATTGTTAACGTTTGGGCAATCTTTCTCATTTTGCTCACTTTGATCTCAGCCATAACAGGCTTTTTCTTGTTTCTCGTGACCTTATGATTTCGAAACAAAATTTGATTTCATACTTGCACTAGCACTTTCACTCTTATTTTAAATTTTCAAAATTTTTATTTTATTGATCACATAACTATTAGTCTCATCTTCCTTTTTTAAAGTGTCTATCAAATGATTCATGTAACTGTTTGATTCTGGTAATGTTTTTGATAAATAATTCACTTATTTTCTGACACTGTAGCACCTGCTGGTTTCAACCTATAAACTGCTTTTTTGAATTTACTTGTAAAGGCCAATTACTCCTGGTTATTTTTTGATCTGATTTTTCAGAATTTGTTCCAACATATAATCTTTAGTGCTTTCGATTTTTTAAAGTATATTCCATCAAATTTATTAATTATCTTGAATACTATGTCAAAATCACTAGCAAATCTTAGCAGTTTATTTTAACTACGACTGTATGTATGAATAATGGCTTACAAATCTATTTTAGCCCATCCGCCTTCCTTGTCTGTCGACATTCTTGCTCTATTTCTTACTACGACACATTTCTTTAATTTTAAGAACATCGTTATCCTTTTCTTCCAGTTTGCATAGTCCTGGCTATCGAATACAAGTATTGAAATTCACGCCACCTCAATATTACTTGGATCCGTTCTCGAACGTTCTATTTTTTTTTAATTTTTCTTTATCTTCGTAAATATTCTGCTTTAACACTAGTACATTTTTGATGGCATTTACCATACTTTGCAATGTTAAATTAAAAATAACTATTAAATGAGAGACATAACTTACACCAAGAGTGCCCAGCCAGCCATTCTTACATGCACACAACCGCATCCTTTGACAAACAGACGACATTTATCAGCCGGCGTGTTTTATCAGAACACCAGGCACCCACGAAGCTGTTTGCTTGCATTTGTCTAGAGGTGGCGTCACTAGTCCACCTATTCTACATCAGAATGATATATACATAGTGTCCAGTAAAAATGTATTACATTCTGAATAATGGCAGTCACCATGCACTTGGTATTTGTATATGCATACGAAACAAGTGACACGAGCAAATTTTTCTGCAAACGTAGTTTTGAGTACTTGAGTCGTTTTGAACGACCATAGTTATAAGATATTTTGAAGGTTATTGAAAAAATTGACGCTTATGACTGACTTTTCAGAAAAAGTGTATAAACGAGCGTATCTTTGTATACTAATACGTACATCAATACGTTATTTACATTTTTTTGCTTACGTTCGCTATTACTCTTTTTAAATTTCATTTTTTTTTTATTTCTTTTTCTTGGACTTCTCACATTTTTTGTATAAAATGCCTAAACTTAAGCGTGTTGTTTTGTAATCTAAGTTTTATAATCGACTCGACTCAATCAAATCGAGCTTTAAAGGGGCTTCAACGTTCCTAGTTAACTTTTTTACATGTGATTGAGTTCCGCTTGTGTTTCATAAACTTTGGTCACCTACATGCTATAATAATATCTGACTGTTTTATTATGTGTTTTTTTATCTTGTACCATTACGTGATTGTTATAATAAGTTTACATAATACTATTCAATTTTATCCATGATATATTAAGATATGTACATGATTGTCGCAATGATGTAAGCGTTACTGTGGTACGCAACACATAATAACGTATTTGATTTGGCTTGTATGGCAAGTTATCTATTGAATACCATCAAAAATTTTGAATGGTATAAGCTATTATTTGTTTCTCAACGAAGGTTCTTTAGATATTTCATTAAACTGGTTCCCAGTATTTTTTTTTAGTAGATAAATTACCACGGTCGAGTCTCACCGACATTAATGTATACACTCGGAACAGTTACTGCTTACGTACATTAACATGTACATATCCCACAGAATTTTGGAAATGTGCAGCAAAATTATCTATTGTTTAACGTATTGTCTCTTTATGTTTTACTCGTATTAATTTTTTGTTCAGTATAAATCAGTTATGGAAAAAAGACAATGGATAGTGCTACGATCTAGTTGTGATGTGATTCAAGATATATTTCTTGTATTTCTGTACGTTTTAATCAATGCATTCTAAACCAATATAAGATTCAGAAGAACATTTACATGTGGCTTTAGTTTGGTAGAAGTAAGCCAGAAATATGTCTATCAACAAAATTATTTTAATAAATGATACACAACTATTTCAATGATAAAAGATCTTGTGTTATGAACTTAACAGTAAGAAATTAAAGGATATATAACATATCTAGAGCAAAAATTCAGTTGCATAGGGACTGATGCAGGAAGTAAAACGGTACGGTGCTTACTACAGTCTCATCTGGTGTCTTTTTTTAGGCAAATTTTTTGGTGAAAGTATGAGATAGCCAATACTTAAGACTTATTCTGTTTAAAGATCAATGAACCTTATGGTGAAATGTGTACAGAAATTGGGTAGTTATGCTAGTAGTAAATGCAATATGCAACCGTGTTATAGCTTATGTATTACCATTAATTAAAATAGTCGTTGACCAAATACCTAACAACATAAGGTGATTTAACAATAATAACGATTTAATTTAATAGTTTGTGACAAAAATGTGTTTACCAATAAAATTAGAAATATTACCTGTGAATGCAACCACTGCGTTAGCATGAAACAATTAAAATTTAAAATTTTTTATTGTCTACTGAATAGATATACTAAAAAAGATATATAATGTTCTAAAATTTAATTGCTTTTTAAGGGGTGTGAGCATGCCCCCTAATGCACGGCTCCTTCACAACTGGAGGCGGAATGGCAGCATATGATAACGTCTACCTCTCCAAAAGTCACGTCTTGCCAACTAAACACAGCCTTACTTTGTTAGGACGCTCCAGAAAGTAAATGTCTACGTGGCGTACTTGCAGTTTAGTCCTCTGGAGGACCTAGTCGAGCTCAATGGAGAGGTGAACTCACGGATATTAGTAAGCTCTAAGCGACCGTAGCTAAGTTAGGCCAGGTAAAGTTTCTCTACTAGAAGGGGCACAGCTGAGAGATGAACTACAGAAATCAACTACACCGAACATACGAGTGCATAATGAAGATCTGTAATGGCATTTATTACCAGCTAGTCTGGAATCAGTGGCTTTTTCTCCCCGTTTATTAGTCCATTTTATAGGGTAGTGGCTTTAACAGCAGATAAAAATGGATTTAGAGAAAGCTGCTTTCTAAAGAATGAAGATGGATGAAGAAAGTATCATATACAGGATATGAAAAAAACAAAAA